CGCTGTAGTGCAGGTGTCGTGAACGTTAGCCTCCTCAGCTCATGTCTCAGACGAAATGAGATGGACTGCGTCCACACATTTGCTGTCCCCTTAGCTCATTTACTGAACCTATCCCGAGAGTTCTGTCTTTAGCTTAAAAATTCCTTGCAAATGAAAGCCACAGTTCATCGGCGCTTTTAGAGAGCTGTCAATGTCAATCACCTCAGACACTTGACATGTGTCAGGCTGCACTGATACATGCACAAAAGTGCGAAAAATTGATGGATCTCTCCACAGAACTTGAGTAGCCCAGCGTAACCAAGTTCTGGAGCCATCTGTTGCGTCATCAGGAGGAGTTGTGTTCAGATGATGGTTAGCTGTGAATACTAAAAATGAACAGCTGAGAGCAATCGAGCTGAGGAGTCCGTCAGGGTACTGACCGTGTTGTTGCTGGCACCAATTTTTACAAAAAAGTCACAGTGCACAATGACGGCCACGATCCAGAGCAAAAATCGCGGCCAGGTCTGGCTGCGATTTTGGCTAAGAGCAAGGTATTCAGTGGCCTAATATTTCGACTGCTCGTCGTCTCGAGAAGCCGGCGGTTCCATCATTCGAGCGGAGAAGTCCGCTACAACACGAGAGCGTTACTCAGTTGTTCTCAGCTACTAATGACTATCAACTATCACTAACGTTTCCTGTGGTAGCGGACTCATCCGCTCAAGCGGTGGAACCGTCGGCCTCTGAAGGCAACGTCACTCGAGAGTTTGGCCATTGAGCAAAGGTTTCACGTAGCAACATCGTAAGGCACAAAGCTATTCCAACACTTGCAACTGACACGCTTATGTTGCAAGAAGTGAGGAGCTGGAGAACCTGCACGGAGCAACAAAAGAACAGAACGCTCGCCAAAGCGTAAAATCAGCAGCAAAAAGGGTCTGCGAGGAATCCCCGACTCGAAACATTTGCGGTCAACAATGCGAAAACGCGCACAGCATAGAATAGGATGGCTCAAGTTCGACTTCCACGGATAGTGCGAGAACAATCCCGACCAAGCTAATCAGTGCAACCACTAGCACCAGGCAAGGGTTACACGTCCAACTGGGCACTGGAAAAATCGGAAATGAGTACATCCTCAACTATGCCGATACCGATTCATTCAACTTTTCCGCAAGTTACATAGAGTAGACAAAGAGTAGCTTCCAACTTCTTACTTCGTATAACCTAGCCACTTGTACATTTGATGTTCTACTTCTGAGCCAACGAGGTTTGTGGGTGGAACTTTATTAACGCCCTGACTCTTCGATCCAGATCATAGTCCTCAGAGGCCTTAACGTAGCTCAAGATTTTTGGTTTGCTCTCTCCGGCGTTTGACGGTTTAGAGTGCAAACTAAGAATCTTGAGGGGTGTGTGGCGATTCTATCGTCGATGATAAGTAGGTCGCCGCGCTGGTGGGCGCCGCGTACGAGTCCTGCTGCGTCGTGCTCGTTGAAATTGTTAAAATGATCATCAAGCCATATTGTTTATGTTAATCCTGTACTGCTTGTCCCATTTTCCTATGATGATCAATGATTGTTTTTTCCGCATTCAAAATGTAAGACTGGTCCCACGTTATTTGCTCAAAATTACTGATCCAATTTTGGGCTTTTCGGAACTTGTGAATACGCGGTCTTCGAGACTCATTTGTATGTCGGTAATGCAACCCGGAATTGTCGCACCGTGCCGCCGCGCGAGACGCCGCGACGCGATGTGCGCGACGTGACCTGACTTGCCGACGATAGAATCGCCCGGCACTATTTTTCCAAACGTATTGTGCTATCACCACACCAACGCCCGGTTCTATTTAACAACGCTCGTTGGCTTCAGAAGTATAGACATCAAATTACACAAGAGTAAGTCTTCTAAACATATACAAATGCTAGAAAGTGCAGCAGTGCACTGTGGTAAGGATATTCACTTTTAGTGTAGAATGACGCAATAGTGTTACGAAAATTGTGGGCAAAAAAGACGCACTTTGCATAACAGAAGTGTGCTGACGCGCAATTGAGAGAGCAACAAATCAATCAAGCAATGTGAGGAAAATTGTAATGTGCACAAAATTTTGTACTGGACATGCTTGACTCAAAAAACACTACGAACTTCTTCGCAACTCGGATACATTGATCACATCCGTTCTAAAACTTGTTGTCATGCGGTGTCCAGTTGGATTAATCGTTTGTTTGACACACAGCAACAAGCGTTCGCATAACGGTGAAAATATTCTCAACTGATGTAGTTTTATTACGATAACTGTTGTTTCACGTCGCAGTTAGTCAGTTAGCTCTTTAAAAGTTCTCACCAGTTTGGCTGACGCGCATTACTGCGCGAATTGTTAAACCTATGGTACTGAACAATGGCAGAATTTTGTGGTGGCCCCTAAAACTTCGCCTTTTTCCCATGCTTCAAAACACGGCCCATTTCATCATAATTCTCCTCTTTAATGAACATTTGCCAACGTATGGTGCTTATCACAACACTCACCATTCGTTGGAAATGAGGCAACTTAGCGGTTGAAAGAGTTTCAATGGTAACAATATCGAAATCATAGTGAAGTGTTCTACATCCTAATTCTTCCGTGAGCAGCTTTCACATATCGGTCTATTGGCGACTCTTATCATTCCTCACTGGCAAACAATTTTAGGCTTTTACTTCTGGGTGGTACTCGAGAGTTTAGCGGTCGGATCAACTTCCGACTACATCCTAAGGGATAGGAACATCTCTGCTCACTAAGGTTTAGCCCATTAATTCTTGGACCACGGTGGTCAAGTTCAGTCGCAGGCATAGCAAAGATGCAGCTCCCCGTTGTTGCTCCGACTCTTGCATTGAATTTTGAGGCCTTCCTGAAGCGGGCCCCCTATGGTACTTTATCGGCTGTTATCAGGTCCTGCTACCCACCAATAATGTTCCTATCCTGCCCCATATATTACTTCTTGAAAACAACGTTCTACCGTCGCTGTGACGCGCACTATGGTGTTAGTGACCATTCCTTTCTAAGGCTCCTTATGGTATCTTATCAGCTGTTATCACTTCCTGCCACCCACCAAAATGTCCCCATCCTGTCCTCTACCTTACTTCTTGGAACCAACGCTCTACCGCTGCTGTGACGCGCGTTGTGAATTTGGTGACCCATACCTTCTAAGGCTCCTTATGGTATCTTATCGGCTGTTATCACTTCCTGCCACCGACCAATAATGTTCCCATCCTGTCCTCTACCTTACTTCTTGGAACCAACGCTCTACCGCTGCTGTGACGCGCGTTGTGAATTTGGTGACCCATACCTTCTAAGGCTCCTTATGGTATCTTATCAGCTGTTATCACTTCCTGCCACCGACCAATAATGTTCCTGCACGACCCCCTACATCACTTATCAGTTTGAGCGCTCTATCGCTGTTTTGAAGGAAGTTATGAATTTCCGGTCAACACACATACAGACACACAAACATTCACACACACACACACACCAACAGACAAACTTAGCGGATTATATATAGTAGTAGGATGATGATGCAGGGTTATTAGCAAAAGTCAGTCCCATATGACGCCTGACCTTTGCCCATAACTCAGCATAAGTGGTAATTCTTAACTAAAATATACGTCTGAGTGTCGATCACAGTATGTCTGAGTTCACTGTTATTTGTCATACTTGCACTGCTTGCTGGCTGGTGCAGCACAGGAGAGCGGGAGAACTGAGAACTAAGGACTTGATGGCAGCACTGCTTGCTGGCTGGTGCAGCACAGGAGAGCGGGAGAACTGAGAACTAAGGACTTGATGGCACTGTTTGACCTATAAGGGGGGAAATTTTTAATTTCATTAGTTTTGTTAGTTTGTACTAGTACGCCTCAAAAAAGCTAAGCCTGTCAACTCTTGTAAACAAGTCACTACTACTATAGCTACCCCCACCAATTCGAGCTGCGCCGGGTTTGGTAGATATCTACCGGTGAAATCAGATAGATGACGACTCGCCTGTTCTTTGAATTCTCCTGCCTATAGCTACCCATTCCTTTTCGTCGATCAAAAAACTGTCGACCTTCGATGTTCCTAGGTAGTGGGCTGAGGAAACATCGATGCGCGTTCCCATTGTTTTCTCTTTCGGCCGGGAAACACAGTCCGGAACAATGGCCTTTATCACCTTCATTGCAATCTGAGTAGTTTTTGCAGTAAGATTTTTTTTGAAGACTAGCGACCAGAAATTAGGCGGGCGCATGAATTTACTGCGACTTCATACAGAAACAAGACTGCTCCTCAAAATCATCGGCCGATGTGCAACGTCTTTGAATAAGACCAGGATAGCGTGGAGGCAGGGCAGCGCTTTCGGTATGGACACGTCAACTTTAATGATGAAGGTTACACGCGGTAAAATTCAATGTCGCGCACAAAGCGGCAGCTTATAGTATATTCAGTGTGGCAAGCAGGCGACGGTTGCTCATGTCCACATGTACATAACGCTGATAAAGACAATTTTTTTGGGAAGAAAACCGGGTGCTGCACTAGCTTAGAGATTTGACCAAGACACTTTCCACGAGAAAGCAGTCCCAAGACCAAGGTTCTGCAAGAAGAGTTGCTGGGAGGGAACTTTTTACGCCCTAACACTGCATCATCTCAATGACGTTTGCTCCAACCCTACAACACTTCTCTCGTGGAAAAAGGATTAGACACTACAAAGAAGTCCTAATCGAACTGTTCACTTTGTTGACTCAAAACCAGGAGAGTTCTCTGAAGGTACATCTGCTAAGGGAGAGCCCTCGACGAATCTGCGAAGGTATGGAGGCGGTCTAGCGGATCGAACCGCTCAACTGTGATTTTTACAACAGATTTTTTTAGTTGAACGCGCATTTATATTCCCTCAGATAAAAAAGAGCAGAGAGGATGACCTTCGTATTTGGAGATTTTCTCTCAGTTATGTCAAAACTCTCAGGAATGAACACTACCGATAGAAACTAAAATTTTTGATAATGTATGCCTTCGGATAATGTATGCCTTCATCATATCAATTTCTACCTGCAATTTGTCCAGTGGTTCCAAACGTTGAGTACTGAGTTGGGGCAGCCTGAGCAGCAGCAGCGTAAGCAGCATCAGCAGACAAGCGGCTCACTTGTGTAGCTTGCACCTGAGCCTGGACTTGGGCCGCTTGGGCCTGAGCTTGAGCTTGGACTGCCTGAGGAAACAAATTATAACATTCCCTTAACTGATATATGTCCAAGAATCCCTCGTTGAACCTGAGCAGCTTGAGCAGCTTGCGCCGCATACATGGAGGCCGCATTCGTCGATTGAGTTCCGTACCCATACGATGCAGCTACAGAAGTGTTATAAGTAGCATAAGGATTCGTTGTTGTCGACCTAAATATTCCAGTGCTGATGATACAGTGTCCTGAGATATAAGACGTCTGCTTGTATGCCGGAAACGAACAATAGAAATACACAGAACACAAACTAAAATTGCTAAAACTAACCCGAACACGCTGCTTGCTGTCTGAGGCTGAGCTTGAGAAGCGGTCTGAGCAACCTGGCCAGCGACACCTAGATTTCCATATACTGCTGCGGCAGCAGCGGCAGCTGTGTAAGCGGTACCGTAATTCCTGAAAGCAACTACTTTCAAATACATCTTGAAAACCCACATCAAACACCACCATGAGTCAATAAAGGCGCCTTTAAAGGCCCATTCAGATGGATAAAGAGCGGGGAAACGTCTGCAGCGTCATTGTCAGGATCACAGGTGGAGGGAAGCGGTACATAACTCAGTACTAGAAGGTGAAACCTCCATCCATCAATGATGCTCTCGAGTATCCCCACACGAAAACTATCCTTTAACGTAAGTCTAAAATCGGAAGCTAAGATTGTTGCCTTCCTGCGAATTTGCTTCTTGAGCAATGAGCATCAATAAATGAGGTCTGATTGCAGTACTCCTTTCACACTTCATACCATCTCAATATTGCATGTATCCCGAAAAGTACCAGTTTTGCGCGCAGAATTGACCTCACATGCAACGTCCACGGGACGGAAGCATGAAATAAGGGATTCGGCCAAGCATGCTCACTCAAGCCGAAACCTTTCCCCAAACATATAATGGAGAGGAATGAAGACATGATTGATGCTTGTTCCATCAAGCGAGCACATCTGGGGCTAATCGCCAATGACAGCAGTCTAACTACGTTCTGAATATGTCAGTTTCAGTCTGCTTTGTTCATTAGACTGAAACTGACATGAAGCGCTGAGCACTATGACAGTTCCAATCAGAAGGAAGAAAACCTACGGAACATACTCAGTTTTTTATTTACCGTAAGAATGAGCTCATTTCCAACAGGGTTTTCCGAAAATCTAGGTAGAAGAAACAGGTCATCGATCATCTCTTGTTACGAGTACCAGCATGTAACGGCATTTGGCATCTGTTCTGAAGCTTTGACTGCGGCATCCAGCCGATGTTAAGAAGGACCACGCGGCTCGCGGCGAGCAATGACTCATCTTCTCCTATGCTCGCTTCTCGGCGGAAATAGAAGTAATATCATGTTTAGGACATGGATATAACACCGCCCTAAGGTTCTATATTCAAAAGGTAAAACAGTTAACGCTGAAAAGTGCGAAGAAACAATTGTAGGCTGGAAGATTTTTGCCTAACCTACAAGGGAAGGAATTCCGGCCTAGGTGAGCCCACTCGTTTGTGTAAAAGTGACACTATCAAATACAGTGGATGCTTTTCAGAATCTAAAGAAGAATCTACTCTAACAGCTCCTACCAAATAGTAATAGTAGTAAATGACCCTTAGCGGTTTCCTCATAATAAAATCACAAGACAATTTACTTACCTATCCACTTAACCTTCCTACGCGAAGTCCATTTTTTCCCGCTTTCAATATGACGGCGACCATCTGTGGGCTGGTTCATACAGAGTCCCAGCGGATCTGACCGTTTTATTCTAATTTGACTGCTAGTTTCACGCTTCAAATATGCTCAAACGATCTATGGGCTGTTTCTAATACAATCTCGCCGAGGAGGGAGCAGAAGAGCAATGAGTCAGCGCTCACCGCGAGGTCACCCAGCGGCCGATGCGTTAGCACCCAAAGTGATCGTGATACTAGCCACTTTGACCGGAGGAGGTCTCTTTGTCAGCTTTGGTGGAAATTGATATTTGACCCCCGGACCATTCGCGTATGAAGCGAACTCAAAATCACTAGGCAAGCACTGCTTAGCAATCGCGCATAAAATTATCAAGTAAAGATCAAATCGAAGACGGTTTTATCAATTCATGCTGCTGACTGAGTTCTCATCATGATTGCTGAACCGCACGGAGAATTAGCTCTTTGAAGCTTCTAGTGTTTTCTCGCATCTTAAACACCTCGTCGAATCAGAGTTATTTCTAGACTTCCGTGGAACTATGAAACCGCCCAAGACACGCGCTATCGTCATCAAGTCTTGGCAGAGGGATCCGTATTAAATAATTAAGTGCTACACAAAAAGTGAGGTATATTCATATGCACTGATTCATCATTTCATTAGTGGATTACGTTGATTTCAAAACAAACGAAGTTCTCGATGTTTCCAGTTGGATTATTTTTCATCGATTTGTCGCGAACACCGCACGGTACCTCTCAGGGAACAGAAGCACGCTCGCTATACGACATTAGGTCCTATGAAGTAGCCTAAGGCTTATCTCACGTCTTTTATTTCTTTCTAGGCTGTCTCTAAAGGATACCTCCATAACTTGTGCAGTTCTCTAGCAACCTTTCGAATTACCCGCTGAGGAGTCCTACTGCTGTACACCTCGCAGAAGATGAAGCATCATAGCGTATTCTGCATTGACTGAGGTCCTGCTCCTGCATGACCCCAGGAGTCAGAATGGCTCTCACTAAGGAAGGTTGTTGGCGAAAGATAGTTGCGGTGATGAAGATCATGTTTTGTCGCTGTTCATGGCATCTCTCTGTAAACGCTACCGTGTATTTGAAATCCAGCGGTCGTATTTGAAGCTCAACGGTCGTACATGATGCCACTACTGATAACAGAATAGGGACATGATGTCACTACTGACAAGAGAATAGGGAAGAGATGTGCCTAAACTACGAGAGTGAAGGTCGAGTCATATTGACGGCACTTATGGTTTTGAGCGGTGTGGAGATTTTCCCGTGTTAACATTTCGTTTTGAGCTTTTACGAGTTGCTGCCACTTCCTATCAGCCCCTGTCGTCCATCATCAGTATCAGTGACCTACTTTCTTTGTCCCCGTTTGGAGAAACCTCTTACGCTGCTGCGACTTTTGTTATCATTTTGGTGCCCTCGCAAGGCCACTGCTCAGATCTGACCAGCTGTTATCACGTCCTGTCACCCAACATTGGTGTTCCCGTCGCACCCCCTATATCACTTCCTGGAACCAACTTCCCACTATTTTTAGGACGATAGCTATTAATTTCGTGACAGGCAGAAAGACAGACAGATGACGCAAACACGCACTCTTGCTGGCATACTTGGCGGTTACACTCTAGTTCGCTGCGGATGAAGGGGCGTGTAAGTGTGTCTTGGCACCAAGCCCGCTCTCTTTTAATTTTCGAAAGCGGGCATGCGACAATACGACAATAATCGGTAGAAACGAGTGATGCGAACGATATGATGCCGTCTTGCCACTTGCTCGCTTCAGCAACTGGTGGAGAACGGGTTTGGCGTCAATAGAGTTAAACTCATCCTGAATGGCACGCCCCTTCCTCCGCAGCGAACTACACTATACTTGAAGATTACATATTGTGCGATGAGAAACCGACCCATCAGAGACCTTGAACTATTGAATGAGGGCAGAAAACCCGTTGTCGCTAGCCCATTATACAGCTAGGTGGTATCGTGAAGCTACGAAATTCCACGAGTTCTTCTGCAATGCTATTCCATGCAGCACAGCACTACGATCAAAACGAGCGACAGTGTATAAAGGGTACAGAAGCTCTCTCGGAGCAAGGGAACGAGCTCCAGAATAGGCGAACCTATCCCTTCGTGCTTCTCGCACTTCGCGAGAACTGTTCCACTTACCTCTTAGACTTTATAGGATTTCAGGTACTGTATCGAAATGACTTCTAACTCGATTTCATGGAATTTTAACAACAGCTCGCTTTATTAGACATTACAAAACAGCTCGCTTCATTGGACATGAGCCAAGCTCGGCGTAACGAATTTTCGCTTTCTTCGAACCAGACGACTTTTAAAAGAGCTAGAGTGTAAAATACCCACCCATAGTTTCCTTGATTGTAACCGTACATGGCAGAAATAAACCCAGAAGTTGACGTCGTATCCTTAAAATGCTTGTATTAGCCTTGTTTACTGGAAAACAACTGCTTACAAGTCACAAAGTCAAATAACTCGAACAATGACGAACACTATGAACACGACAGTTGACGAACCACATAAATAGAAAAAGAAAACAATGACATGAAACGGTGAGGAACAGAGACAAACCATGACCGACGTGCGTTGGCAGTAAATCGACCGAAAATGAGCGTGTCTAGTGCGAGGATCGATGGCAGCTGCGGTGGCGGCGCGGTATCTCGTCCTTTTGCCCGCTAAACTCGTCCACGCCCATTCCTGTGCTTTTCGACGTGTCTTCCCTGCCACCATCCAGAGTCGGGTTACTCATTGTTTCCTCCTAACCCTACCCACACAGTGCATGCTTCCCCGTCAGCGCTGTTCCGTAGTAGCAGCTTGCCATCTGATTACTATCGTCCAAATCTACTCACGCATCGACGGACGAGTTCCCGGGGAGGTTGTCTAGTTTGTCGTGGGGAAAGCGCGTCCCTTTAATATCAATTGACATGCGAAGACAGCAGAAAAAAAGAAGAGAAAAGAGAGGACGGGAAGGGGGGGGGAAGGAACGAGGAAGAAAAAAGAAAAGAGAGGCAACCTTCGCGGTCGACAAGTATCCTAGGACGAACCCATTTAGCGATTACGAATGATTGTCTCTCGTATTCTCACTCACCCGGAAAAATAGGTGACGAGGCTTTCCTCAGACAACTGTCCGGACGCTTCCATCAAGAGAGTTCAAGTAATGTCTTGAGTAGAACGAAAAACGTATAACTATTGGTCTTCTTAATGTCCCGAAATTGTTCCATATCTAGTAGGAGCAATTATTTTCTCTGGATTGTTTCATTACACCGCCTGGTGCAGTTGCTGTTTTTAAAAAATGGCTCCTGAACGAGTCCTGGAGGGAACTGGATCTTGCTATTTTGCCCTGGCTCACTTTCAACCCAGCGTGTCTCGTCAGGACTTTTATGATCGAGTTAGCCCGTACGAAAAAGAAGCACTGTCCCTCAAAAACGTCAACAGGCTGTCTGAATCTTTACAGGTTTCATTACAGTGGCTTCTGGTTAGAATCAACTGAGCTTCCTTGATTCTGCGACAACAAGAGTAGGTCGAGTGTATTCACGCGTGTTTGGGCCACTTTTTCTACTCATGCGGAAAAGTCGTAGTGCCCACGCAGTTCAGAAATAATGAGCAGCGCGCAAGGGATATAAGTTTGCTGTCACTTTCAGTATTTTTAAGCAGAGCATGTTCATCCATATAGTCTCAGCAACTGAACCGAAAGGGCCTGTCAGTGTGGATCTGAATTTTGGCGTGGCGCCATCTCGCTTTCCAACAATCGTAGCCAGGTTATGCAAGCAGTGATTGGTGGAAAATGAGTTGGCGCCGCCCCAAAGTCCGCGTCACACTGACACGCCTCGTCGATTCTGTTGTCAATGCGTACAGCTCACGCATTGGTTATTTAAAATGATTTGGATGCGATTCTTATTCGGGTGCGTTTTGGTGCAGGGTGGGATGAAACGAATATCGACGACCACCTCATTTCTTCAATCATTTTTCAACAACCACCGCAAACCAGTCATTCTATTAAGGTGATGAAGAACGGCTGTGATCAGGGCGTGCCTGCAACTCGAGAAAATTTTCGCGAAATACGAGCTCCTCTTTTGGAAATTTCCTATGCCCCTGTCTACAGTTTGTAACATTGCAATTTGTCGGGGCGGCGAGCGCAGCGCGGCACGAGCTCGCGTCCGGCCGCCTTGCTCTACCAATGGTGATCGAGCAATGATCGATGTAGGAAGGAATCAGCCACTGGTGGGAAGGCCGCAGGTGGGAACCGCTGATTGACAGGTCGCGGTGATATAAACTGTATCTACCACTTTCCTAAATTTCATCAACTTCCTACCACTTCTTCGAAGTTTTTTTTTCTAAAAACTCCTTTTCTCCCAAAAAAATTAAAGTCTAGCAACTCCGCCTAGTAACTTTTGTGCGCATTCGAACCGGACCGGAAAGACACGACCATGAGGGAATCAAAAGTGTCAAGCTGAACCGTCATCCAGTCTCATGACTATGGGACAAAAGCATTCTCAAGACCCATGGTCAACAATAACCAAATCGTAAAACTTTATTCATTCAATCGTAAACCTACAATGTACTAACTATACAAATTTACAATGCGCAGTATCAATGATAATAGAGGGAAATACAAATGTATGAGGCAACCGAGTGAAAAATCCAAATATGGGAGCTGAAAACGTCAAACAATAGAGTATTAACATACCTCTCGCTAGTGGTGTATGGAAAAAAGTGAAAGTAGAACTGAAAAGTGGAATGAAGACAGTTTTCCTAGGAATGAGGTTGGATTGTGAGCCTATCATCTTGGAGAGGTAAATGAGAAGGTAGATGAGGACCGTCAATCAAAAAATTATTTACCAGTATTCAGAATGGGTGGGCGGCGAGGAAACTTGTTAAGTATAGACTTAACTTGTCATTACCTCAGTTAAATATGCAGTACACGGGTATTCAGAGCAGAATGCAAACTAACAGCTCTCCTCCTGAAACGTAACAAAAGGGGGCAGTAGTGACAAAAAAATGCAACTTCTCAGGAGAATCCGCCTATCTGATCAGTGCCTGTGAATGGGTGAACCGTCGTCAATCATCAGCAACCAAGCAAAAAACTGCTGCAGATCGTACCTGCTGACCTTTGCGCCAACCTTGTTCATAATGAAATTACCGGTTGGGCTACAAGATCGGAACAAAACGTTTTTAATTTGCGTATTATACCTTACTGTGAAGGAGAAATAATAGGCGTGCAGTTAAGCCAAGAATTCACTTCGATTGACGTTGCCCACGTCGCTTCTTGCTTTACGAGAAGAAAGGAAGACAAGAAAAGTTTCGTCGTGTCAGAATGCCGCTATAAAGCCACAATATTCATATTTCTTCAAGTGTTGTTACTCAGCGATTCCCGCGCACGCATTGCTTCCACCATTTCCTGAATTTCTAGTGTTTTCTTAGAAAGAAGCTGATTTTGCTGACATATAGTTGATATAGTCGCAACACCCGGAGCGGTACAGGAGGGGTGGAACGAGTCCGCCCCTGCCGCCTTTTCTACCGACGCGATTAGTTAGTGATTGCTTTCGGTAGAAAACGACCAGCGGCTTAGAAAAGCCGTGGATAGGCTCCTTTTATGCCCCTGACACTGGGCCTAGTGATTGCGACGATATCAACCGTACACACCATGGATGTAAGAGCTTAATTACAAGAAACTAACGGACCTCCCACATCTCGTAAGTGAACGATATTATGGCCTGATTCGTAACTGCAGCCGACCTGTCGTCTACGTGCAATCTCTGACGTTCTTCATTTGAAACGTGTACTAAATAATCCGAGTTATTAAGCAAAGCAGGGAACAGCAAAGACACCGATGATTTGAAAAATGTCCACGCTAAGCGAAAGCTTGAAAAACATTTCGGCCGAAAACCTTACACAACACGGGCAGGCCATCCTCGCCAACTTCCAAGCGAACTCGTCCATCTTTGACGAGGAAAGAGACGTAAAACATATTTTCCACCTGCAAAAGGTTTTCAAAAGTAGTTCTCTAAAAAGACACAGTCTAACACCAGCTCACTGAGGCTGATATCTCGGCTCCTACCACAATAACAGAATGAATAGGCCTGGAGACTGCAGTGAAAATCGACCGCAGATATTTTTAGCTGTGCGCACGCCTTTGCGCACCCTCGTTCAACTTTCTTCCTTAGTTCAAAGCAGTCTGGATTAGCTGGTTTGGACTAGGGGAAAAAGTTGAACGAGGGTGCGCAAAGGCGTGTTCATTACGCGGAACACCGTGAAATCCGTAGAGAAATTATTCTAAGCCATACAGTGTGGTACGAATGACCAAGACAAACACATTTGGAAATATGGAAAATTAACCACACGTCAAGAAATTCTATGAAACATGCGTTGAAATCAATACACACAATAATCTGCGTATTAATACAAAGTAGGTGCAGATAGTGTAGTGACAAGTGGCGCGCTTACCACTCGCGCGGTCCTGAGTTCAAATCCCAGGTCGACTCCCGCCCAGGCCAACCAAGCTTCTTTCCTCCGGGGACAGTAAATTGGTACCACATTCATCTTACAGGATAAAAAACTGACTCGTATATAGACTGGCCCTTTGTAAGTCAGTCACATCTTCAGCAAGCTTTTACAATTTTGAATGGAAGTAGAATGTGTGGCGCATCCCAAAAAAGATTCATTAACGGCAAATCTTTCATCTCCGTATTGTAATCCAAAGTAGGCCTGCAGAGTGGAGAACATGCGCTTTTAGAAGAAGAGGAAGCACCACTAATGGAGGGACACTACTAACCCAAATGTTTGTAAAACTGAGCTAAAGTTAGCAAGAAATACTGCAGGCCATTACCAAATTCGCTTACGAGGAAGAATATCAACCGCTGGTCCCGGTAAGTGCAGAGACAAAATTCCATTCGGAAGCCAGGACCATCGTAATGCCAGGGACTGAACACAGAAATAAATTAAACCACTCACCGATTTGGAGAAATCATCAGGATCGATGACGAATGAGAAAAAGTCTACAGACGGTTTCTCTCTCCAGGCTGCCTTCAACGCCTTTCGTACCTTGTCCAACTAAATCGATTACTTTCACAATAAGCTGAGTAGAACTGAATGAATTAACCACTGTTTTGCTCCGAACACTTTTGAGGATGTTCTTCCATCTTCCAGAAGCTGTCAAAAACCAAACCAACAAAGTCTATTTAATTGAAAAAGTGAAGTACCTCTTGAGCAACGGAAACTTCATTGTCGATGCTTACAGTCTGCTTCGAAGAAAGCACAACTGCGGCCTCTTGAGTATCCTTGCCTCTTCTCAAGCGTTCTTTCTTCGCAACCTGCGATGGCGTAGTATCATATGAGACAACCGAACGCCTAAAATTATGACATAATATCCTGCCCTGGTCAACAATCTCGCCATCCCCTTCACGTCCTAAACAGCACAGAACATTCGCGGTATAACCGAGTGATTCAACCACGCGACAGATGCCGACCGCGCTCCTCCGCTAGTCAATTGACCACTGGTCGACAAAAGTTCTGTTCTCAATGTGATCAGAACCGTCAGCGCAGCCGTCGCACTTGTGCGTGTGACAGTCGCACGGCACTTTCAGTCGAGTCGCAAAGTGGGAAAGCCACCTGAGGCAAACCAACTTACAGAGACTGGTAATTGAAAGACACATCATAGGTTAACGTTCCAAGATCTTGACGACCAATCCAAGCCCACTGATCACGACTTATCTGTAACAAGTAGAGAAAAATGACGAAGGGAACGGAGTAGCTGCGAAAGTAACAAAACTTGAGAATAATTCTGAAACTCATATCGTACCTTAGGTGCACTTAAAGACATACGCTGACTGGCTACACTCTGCGTTACATTCGAACATGATGGGGATCTCGATGGATCAATATCTTCATCGTCTTTTAGTAATGGATTTTCGTCGCCATCAAAGACCGCTGTGGTGGGAGTTAATGACACAGAGCTTAGAAATGACATCTGAAAACTCAAAGTATCGCAACACCACTACATTAACAAGATCGAATGAGAGCGAACATTTGACGCTGTTCTTTTCGGTTCGGTAATTATAAGATGTGGACCCCACATAACATTTCTTTTAGCTACTGCAAAGTCCCTGAGCACGAATATTCCAGTACACGAACGCGCTTGAAAAAACGTTGCGGGACTTGAAGCTGCCATATTTTCCGCTTATCCTCGCTTGGAAGCTTGCGCCAATTATAAAATAAACGAGTTAAAAAATATGCTCCACTTTCAACTATGGGTAATCGTGGGTTCCAGCACTAAAGACAATACGGCAAATGACGCAAAAGCGATGAAAAAGAAGAGAAAATTGTAAAACTGCTCCATACAGAACCCCGCACTGAACCGCGTTTGTACGTGCATAAAGCGAAGAGTGGGCGTGGTCGGACGAGTTCTCTGTTGCTTGTATCAGCCTTTCTCACTATTCGAAGGAGAAAGAGCCAGTAGCGAAACAACCGCACAGTCATGTTTCAGTTAAAAATGAAAATTGGGCGTCACAGTGGCCAGTGGGCGGGATCGAGGTTCGTCGCGCTTTTCTGACGTATTTTTAAGCTGCGGAAAATGCTTGCAGGTAGGGCTACCGTGCCCAATGAAGGCGCTCGAGCATCAAGTGAACGCGGGACGTGAATTAAACCTTGAGGAAATGCAGAACTAAAGCTTTGCTCGTTGGTGGGCTGCTGACTAGTAAGTTTGATCACCTTAACAGAAATAGGGTTATACCGAGTCATATAAAATATAACTAACCAGTGCGTCCGCGAAAGACGTGGCTGTAACAATCCTTTCCGAGTGTGAACTTCGAAATGACTTCATTTGTTCAAGTAGAACGTTTGCCATTGACAACAACGAGTCTGCGTCAGCTGCGAGCTCCTTTCCTCCTGCACCCACCTCAAAATGGGCAAAATAAATAACGATTCTTTCTAAACAATAAGCTTGAAAAAATTACACTCTGGTAGGAGCGATCAACATCCTCGAGAGACTTTCCGAGATGCTCAATCAGATGAGCACTTTCCTTTCTTTCAACGTCACCTTAAACATGAACTAAGCATTATCAAGGAGCAAGGTTGCCAATGAGTTCATACTTGTACCTGCAAATTGACTACAAATCTCATGATACGCTTCCCGCAGAGACGCACGTTTAGCGAATTGTTGAGAGGGATCGGCCTCGGCAGCTAATGAGTTCAGGTAGTCAGCTTCTTGTATCTGAACATTGCTATGCAGTGGAAGCTTTTTGATATCAAGCAATAAAACTAAAGGATAGCGGAAACTGAAAAATTAGGCTCCAATGTAACTGGGTGGGGGGCTTAGCCTAGTTCGCTGCGTACGAAAGGGCGTGTCAAGCCGGATGGGTTTGGAACGGTGCCAAACCCGTTCTCCACCAGTTCTTGAAGCGAGCAAGCAACAAAACCTTATCACATTATTCGTGTCACTCGTTTTCTACCATTTGTTGTCGCAGTCACTTCGAAAACAGCAGAAAAAGGGTTTGGCACCGTGGCTCCTTCTCTGACAACCCCTTCATACGCAGCGAACTATTGTGTAGAGAAGACGCATTCTCTGGGAACAATCCCTCAGCGACTTTGGTCGCCAGCGCTCCGAGCCTGAGCCTTCCTGTGGAGGGGATATAGAGGAGTGATCAAAATCTCCTCCCCCCAATCACGTTAGGCCAGAAATTACAACCTTTCTCAGTATTTTCCACAGCACAAGCAAACGATGTAAGCCACATTTGGATTCTCCGTATTGCCTGTTTAAAACTACAATTCACGCTGGTAGTGTGGGCGGGGACATGCCAAAGCTGTGTCTCTTCCGCTGCCCCCCCCCC